TCGTGTGTCCATAACACAAAGAGGGATGCTCTCTCAGCCTGGCGTATTAGGGGAGTGCCTGGACCCTGCCAGGAGTTAAATGACAGACAATGGATATCCCCTATGTAGAAGGAAGTGGGGAGGTGTGGAACTGGGATGTTGGGGGCGCCAGAGGAGGGGAAGTAGAGGGAATTCGGATTGACATGTGAAGCAAGCTATTTAATATTACAGTAATAATAGAAAATAAATTAAAATAATGAATCAGAATGAACTGTTTCCCTTCCTTACCAGAGCCTAGATGGCCTAGAACCTCAGTGTCTCATCTGCACATAAAGAAGTTTATTCCTTCTAAATAGCACTTAGCCAATAAAGATGGTCCATTTAAAACCATCTGTTCTCATCCCACAGGCATGTGAGGCTAAAGAAGATGACAAATTTGGCAGTTTGTTCACTAAAGTTTTCCAAATTCATTAATACTGACTGATATCTTATTTTCCATTAGTAAAGAAATGTTAGTATTTCTCTGTTTTGCCAGTGAGTTATGTTTCATATGTGCTTGTGTGTCTTAGGTGTTAGTGGGTACCTCTGTGAGATAGCTCTGGTATTTTATCTACCCATGAAAAATTTTATGTTTTAATATTATTTTAATTTACTCTCTGTGTGTGCCCTGAGTATATATAAGTGAACTAGATTTGTGAAGGAACCCTTGGATCTGTTTTGTAGGAGTTGTGAGCTTTCATTTAGATTCTGGGAATTGATCCTCGGTTATGAGTTTTATGTCTGACCTTTGGAACCAAACTCATGATATAATATTTATGCCTTAAGGAACGTATCTTCTGAAATAGCAGTGAGTTCTACCTGGAGGAAATGGTGAACAGAAGCTCACTGTGTTTCAGAGACACCTTACTTACTCCAGTCTGTGAGTTCCACAGATTGCACTCAGATCCTAAGTTAGTGTACACGTGACGTTAAATCGTGACCTAATTCAGCCACAAATAATTAGCTGGCGAAATGTCTAGTGATGAGAGCCAAGCAATGGAATATTATCTACAGATAAATACCAAAAGGGGAATATTTTTCTAAAAATGATTTCACAATGACATGAAGCTAATTTACAGCATCAGTTAAAACATGCTAGAGAAAAGAAATTCTGTGCAAATGGAGGTAATGTTAGACTTGGATATATTTGTCAGTTCACATGTACTGGTACCCTGTTACTATTCCTGCTAGTATTACGTCAACCTGATACAAAAACCAGGTTACCTAATACAAGGGGGCCTTAATTGAGAAAAATGCCTCCATAAGATCCAGCTATATGTCATCATGTTAATTAGCGATGAAGGCAGGTTCAACTCATTGTGTGTGGTTCCGTCAGTAGTGTGGTGGTTCCAGGTTGTATAACAGCACACAAAGCCCCCCTCCATGGCTTCTGTACAAGCTGTTGCTTCCATATTTCTGCCCTGCTTAACTGTCCTGACATTCTTAATGACAAACAGAAATATGGTAATCTAAGCCAAAGAAACCATTTTTGGTCCAAAATATTTTGATTATAGTGTTTCAGTACAGAAAGTAACACATGGATATTCTGATGACTTCTGCAAAACCTCATATCTACTAATTATGTAGCTATGCTGTCTGTACTCCTTCTTGCCAGGAGAATTTGCTTATTCTTGAACACCACATGGTTTGCTGTTATTCACATCGTTATAAAAGCATTTTGGCAAAAAGTAGAGTTTTTCATTCTTTTCCAAACTATTTACAGAGTTTGTTTTTCTTTTTAGGGTATACGCATTTTGCCTGCCTATATGTATTTTTCTGTTGTTTGGTTGGTTGAATAGATTTACTCACTGTACCAGGTGTGCACCGCATTCTTGACTGTCCATGTCTTTCCAACACTGGCTAGAGCATTGCTTAGTATTGAACCTAAGTGCCAAAAATGATTCTCTCTGGAATACACTATGCACTCCAAGGATTCATGGAGAAAGTTCTTCCCCATTCTTCCTAGATGCTTTTATTATTTTGTTTGTGTAATTTATGCTTATTTTCATTCCAAGATATGATTCAGATAAAGTGACATGAAATTATTTATGTCTTTGAGGCAAACAGCATTAGGAGCACATGATTGCTATGAAAGTAATAACTGCTATATTGGAAAGAGGCCAGAGGGTAATAAATTTAAAAGTTGAGTGTGTGGAGTCTGATCAAAATCATAGGATTGACTGAACCAGGTTGCACAGAATGCAAAATGTATTTTCACACTCCACACCAGTTGAGTATTTTTCCTTTCATGTGAAAACATTGGGAACAGCAGAGTGAAGAAATAGGTAAGTAAGGGCATTTTGATTCTATTGCTAGTGTTTTCAATTTGAACCTAAAAATCTTCATGCATAAAAGGAGCCACTTCAAGCTGTGTTGGGGCTAAATCTAATTACTCTAGGTGGCACCCTCTCTAGGGACCATGCTTGATACTATAAGGAGGGAACTCATTCCATGAAGAGGCTACTTTCTGGTTTGATGGCCCCATTCTATACACTCTGTGCAAATATGATTCCTTATGGAGCCAAAGTTTCCCCTTCATGCTACACATTTTTAGGGCTTGTAATGTCTTTTTCTGTTTACTTTATCCCACTTCTTATGTCACTAAAAGACCCTAGGCTTCAAATCCTAAGTAAAGATCCTGAAATTTACTCAATTCTTATAATAGTGTAATGAAGTCAACAGTCATAATTCTGCCAAAAGGAAATTTCACATTTCAAATAATACATACTTTACATGAATATGTGAAACATGGACACGTGGGTCTATTTTTCTAAATTCTGTAGGAGAATCCATGCGAAGTGTTTTTAAACACCCTGATATTCATTCTCCCTGAGCTGATAGCAGAGGAAGAAGAGATTTGTGAGATTTAAACTCCTCACACTTGTTAAGAACTTGAATATAATTGTGACTGAGATCTAAAGAAGGTAGATGCCCAGGGACTGTGAGGCTAGCATTTAAAACATACCTACTTTAATGTACGTGATTTTTTTCTGATATGAATGTATGTTCAACACATGTGTTTCTATTATCTATGGAGGTCAGAACAGTGAGATAGGTCACCAGGAATGTCTGTTATCAACCAATTTTGTGCAGGGAAAATCTCCTGGGCCCTCTGCAGAACAAAATTCAGCAGTATTTCTTGAAACCTGGGATAACTCTACACTCTGAGCACTTTTTGGAGAATACACTTTTGAAGACACAGATCATATGGTAAAATTTCATAAGTTCTTAGACTTTGATGTCTGCTTATGCTTCCATCAGTTCCCGTATAAAGGCTTTAGACTCCCCCCCTGTCTCCAAATTTGTTCAAGAGATCTTCCCCATTTTGCCTTTTCTGTATTTCTCTTTTAGGATCCTCATTTTTCCTAGCTTCTCTGGAATTGTGGATTGAATACTGAAAGCGTGAATAGAGTAAACATGGTATGTTTACAGAATGGAGACTCCTCAGCAGGAAAAAAACAAAAAAACAATGGAATCTTGAACCTCGCAGGCAAGTGAATGGCACTAGAAGAAATCATTCTGAGTAAGATAATCAAGTCACAAAAAGACAAACATTGTATGTACTCACTCATGAATGGATTTTTTACATAGAGCAGGGCTTTGCTAGTCAAAACCCACATCTCGGGATGTCTGAGAATACAATGAGGAAAAAACAAATATGTGCATGTTCCCTCAGAGAAGTGGAATGTGATGGGATATCCTGAGGGGATTAGAAACATGAAGTGAGGGGAGAGGAAGGTTGGAGAAAGAGAGGAGGAGAAGAGAGTAGGACATGGTGGAGCAGGTAGTTTGAGTCATGGAGAAACTATAGGTTTTAGCAGAAAATTAGCATTACAGAGGTTTTCAGAGGTCAAGAAGGATGACATCTACTGGCAAACTAACCAAAAGTGGGGAGACCAAATGCCCTCCCCCATAATGAGACTGATGACTACCTTGTATGCCATCATAGAGCCTTCATCTAGTGCCTGGTGGAAGCACAGGTAGACACACACAGCTAAGCACTTAACTGAACTTCTGGAAACCAGTTGAAGAAATGGAGAAATGATGACCAAAGTAGTCACGACCTGGCTAGTGACAGCCACAGAGGTTGATGACGTGAACAAGGGGGGGAGCTCCTGGATTGCAGACTGGTGATTGATAGGGCAGCATTGTACTGATAAGGAACCCTTGAAAATGGGTGTCAGTGAGGAGGCCTCATCAATCTATGGGGTCTTTGATAGTAGAACAGTATTTAGCCCTGGCATACAAATGGATTTTGGGAGTTAATTCCACTAGGAGGGATGTTGTCTCAGGCTAGATACATGGAGGAAGGACGAGAACCTGCCAGGAGTAATATGACAGACATTGCAGATTCCCCATGGAGGGCCTCACCCACTCTGGGGAGCTGAGGTGGAATGTGTTGGGGGCTCAAAAGATGAGGGAAGGATGAGAGATTGGGATTGACATGTCAAACAAGCTGGTTTCTAATTTAAATAAAACAAAATAAAATTTAAATAAAGAAAAGAATATCTTATGTGGTGGGAATTGAACTGCCTTCATTAACAATCTGCAGGTGGATTTCTGTGAGTCTCGAGGCCAGGCTGGGCCGACAGCCTCCAAAACAATACAGAGAAACCTTGTCTCATAAAACCAAAAAAAAAAAAAAGGTTAACTTTGATGCACGAATGTCATGGTTAGTTTTGAGTAGACATACCATTTGATAATGAATTCCAAAAAGGTATTTAAACTGTTCAAAACAAACTTGAGAGACAATGTTATCATCTGTAAAATGAAATATTGGAATTTAATATTTGAATATGGAAACCAATGGGAATGTTTTTGGAGACATTTTGAGGCATCAGTTTCACATTGTGTCACGGCTTTAAAAAGTATATTATTTACCCAGGGTGAGAAATATTTTCACCTGTGTCTACCCCTCAGATTCCATTCAGTCTTTCAAATACAGGTGTCAGTTTGTTTTAGTTAATGATCAGGGTGGATTGAAAATGCCTGTGCAAAGTATAAAGCAGAGTGCTGAAGTCACAAACCCAGGTTGTAAGATAACCAACATCTTCTGGAATAACAGATTCTGTGAATGCAGGAAAGGAAAATCTAAGGGTTGATCACTTTCTGAAAGTTCATGGTTTTTTATTCTGTTGTAGAACAATGTAGAAACTGAGGATATTTTGAAGCTAGTTTCCAGACTCTGAGTGTCATAGCTTGGAATAGAGGTGCTTTTGCCTTATAAGCAGTATAATATCAGGAAGGAAAACCTTTAAGATAACCTTATTGAAAGGATCCACAAGGAAGGGGATTGACAGATGGCTTGCGCTCAGGTAAATATATGCACAAGGATGTGAAAATTTGACAGTCCACAGAGAAATGTTTAATTTTCAGTGTTTGACATATATTGTTTGAAATCTGTCTTCATGTTATATTTTATTTTCAATAGAAACTCTTTATTATCACTCTCATTTGTAAGTTATATCTTGCTTTCCCATTTCAATGTCTATTTTCAAACATTATATATACATATATATACATATATATATATATATATATATGCATGTCCTGAGAGATTTACAAAATTTCTGATATTAGAGATGAATATTGATACTCAATTCTTACCTACTACCACTTCAGATGAGAAAATGTACTCATTTCATGAGAATTTTAGATGTTGGGTACTTTGTTTTCTGTTAAAAAGTCACAGCAACCTCACTCCTAACACATAACATTTACAAATCGCATATCAATTACTGATAAAACAGCAAGATATATACTTAAATTATCCTTCATTTGGGGCAAATAAGGACTCTAACCATAATCACAAGGGGAAAAATTTTCATTTCAGAGTCAGTTGACTTTTGAGGATGTGGCTATCAGTTTCTCCAAGGAGGAATGGAAGAGCCTGCATACTTCTCAGAGGGAGATGTACAGAGATGTCATGTTGGAGAATTATAGCCATCTGGTTTCTGTAGGTGAGAATAAATTATTTTCTGAATGCTGCTTAAACACAGGAATGTGAGAAAACTTATATTATAATTTTGAAATATTTTCTATGAATGAAACCATCTCCCAATTTTCCTACATATTGGTAAGTGTAATATTTACTTCACTTTTAATATATCATTTATAACGGTCATTTAATTTAGCCTAACAATTCTCTCCCATATGGTATTTTTTGCAGAAATTCAGTAGCAATAATATGTGAAAACATTTTGAGTCCAAGAGATTTATATTTGTAATTGTGAAATTTATGTGAAGTTGAATCTGTAAAAAAATAAAAAATTAATTTCTTATGAGTTTACAACACCTGTCAATTATGCACTAATAAGTCTGCACTTATGAATCTTTCCTTATATTCCTTTATGTTAAATGAGTACAAGCCTGTGTTGCCAACCAAATCTTTTCCACGTTATGTTTAGAAATTATGGTACGTCTCTTCTAATTCTTAGGTCTTTCTGATTCAAAACCAGAACTAATCACCTATCTTGAACAAAAGAAAGAACCCTGGATGGAGAATATACAGGAAGTAAAAGGTCTGGAACCAGGTAAGCTGAAAGGAACCAATGGCTCATGTGTGGAATCCAAAAAAAGGAATGAACAATTAAAGTAGTATTAGCTTTGATCCCTTCTAGAAGTGTAGACAAAGTATTTCTTTCAGTATTTTATACTAGGATATAGCATACACAGGATTTTACATGTTTTTCCTTTGTTTTGTCAGAATAGTTATTATAAAATAATTAGCATGCCAATAGCAATTTGGCAATGTATATATGGTATTTGTGTGTTTGTGTGTGTGTGTTCCAAAATATGTTGGAATTGTTCTTCTATATGTCAGCGATAGATTGAATACAATTTCTAGTATTTTTCTCTATTTTTGAATATTTTTAAACTTTAAATTTATTTTTCTTTTATCTACATGAATATCATAGATTTATTGAATTTCCCCAATGTTTCCCCACACTGTTTTATTCTATCAAAACATGATCAGAAAATTCATAAAAAAATAGAAGAAAATTTGTGAAGGCCAACTCCTTTGGAATGCAATATTTTGAATATGATTGCTATATCCTGGGATTAAGTAAAAGAGAAAAAGTTTTTTCTCCTCCTTGGAGTTATGGACCACTCATATGTTCTTGTCAAAGATGTATAAGATTGGATATATTTTAAATTAACAATACAAAGTTTTGGATATATTTAGCTTTTGTGGGTTTTGTCATTGCTGTTGCAGACTTGGCAATTATATGTTGATTGTTCCTATGCTGTTTTTAAACTCCTCTTTCACTAAAGTCATTTGCTGTTTCTTTCCTTCTCCCTAATTGGAGGGTTATGAACAAAGAAACCCAGACAGGTCTTAGGTCTCCAAACTCTCAATATTACCCTTCTGTAGTGAAGGATGAGTGAGGCACCAATCGATGTTTTCAGCAATATAATATTAGCTTCATGCCAATGTTCCTTAGGTGAAATAATAATGAATTTTTTTATCTAGAGCCCTTGCCAGTTTTGTCTCAGTTCCTTGGCTCTAAAGCAGTGTCAGACATGGATGCCAACAATGCATTAAGACAGTCAAACACTTTTTAGTTATTGCCAAAGCATCAGAGCCACTTTTGAACATATTTTCTAGGTCTGTCAAATATGTGGTCCCATGATCAATAACATGGAAAATTGATGACAATGCTCTCCTTGTATAGCATATATAGTAATTTTCCCTCAATATATGTTTTTATTTAAATTAGAAACATGCATGCTTCACATGTCAATCCCAGCTCCCTCTTGTTTCCTCCTCCCTTGTCCTTCCACCAGCACACCAACTAATCTCCACATGATTCCCCAGGAGGGGTGAGGTCCTCCTTGTGGGGTTTGCCAGTCTGTCATGTCATCCAGGGCAAGACCTAGGCCCTTCCCCATGTGTCCATGTTGAGAAAATATCCCTCCTTGTGAAATGGCCTCCCAAAGTTCATTTGTATGCCATGCTAAACACTGATGTACTAACCAAGGCTACAGAGATTTCTGACGCCTCCTCACTGACACTATATTCATGGAGTCTGGATCAGTAAATGTTGCCTCTCAGCCATCAGACTGGGGTTCAAGAACACCCCCTTGTCCAGGCAGCTGTCTTTGTGGGTTTCACCAGCACAGTCTTGATCCCTTTCCTCATCACTCCTCCATTTCTGTCACTTGTTTCCAGGAGTTCAGTTCAGTGCTTAGGTGTGGGTATCAGGCTTTGCTTCCATTGGTCACTTGATGACGGTTCTAGAATTTCATCTAGAGTAGTCATCAACCTTAACACCAGTGAGGGGCTATATATAAATATAGTCTCTCTGCTATTGATTAGTTTGCCAGTTGGTGTTATGCTTGTAGATATCAGAAATCTCACTAGTGTCAGCTCTCTCCTCAAACCTATAATGACAGCATCTATTATGATATCATTCATGCTGCTCTCTTCTTTTTTACTCAACCTTCCTGCACTCCCATGCCTTCTTCTCCCCTCCTATAATTCTCCTCTCTTTTTTATGGTTCCCTCCCCTCTCTGCAAATGTTCCCAATCTGCTCAGGAGATCTTAGATCATTCCACTTCTCTGCTGTATAATGCATCTCAATTGGGAATCGCCATGTTTCCCAGACACACCCGCATTGGAATTGTAGGCAGATACTCCCCTGATCCATATCTAAATTCCATATGAGTGAGTACATACGATATTTGTCTTTTTGTGACTGGGTTACCTCACTCGGGATGATTTCTTCTAGTGCCATACATATCCCTGCAAAATTTCAAGATTCCATTGTTTTTTTCCTCTGATTAATACTTACCCTTTCCAATACACGCTCATAGCCTTAATTGCTGGCCAGCCTTCAAGGGCTATCTATCAGTACCCCTTTACTTTCCTGACCTCAATAGAACAGGTGAAATGCTGGAGGTTTATTTAATACACCTTCTCTTTAGAAGGTGATCTCTCAAGTAAAAGCCTGGGGATTTGACCATTCAATTTTACTATTAGAAGTTGAGGTACCTGTTTTTAAATTATTTTTATCTTGAGGCTCTCCTCTCCTGAGTCTTCTTTATGGCCAATCTTTCCCAGTCTTTCCAAGTCTCTCTGGATATCGGTGAGACCTCCAATTGTGGCGCTGGATAACCAGATAGATGTCCAGCTGTTTCTACTAAAAAAGTGTCCTTATTTTGCATGTGCTAAGAGGTCTTACAACACAGTAGAAAAACCCCAGGTGGAAGACAGCATGTTTTCTTCCTGCTGGATGTTGATGTCAGTGTGTCAATATGGAGGTAGTAAGCCTGGACTAGAAAAGAGGATGCCCCTGTGGATATCAGCTGACAAACATTTCAAGACCCTGTGGGGGCTAGGCCCCAACAGATGCTATCTATTTTCCATTGTATAATTTTGCCTTCTTTGTCGAATATCAGGTGTTCATAGGTTTGAGGATTAATCTCAGGGTTATCATTTGGTTTCCATTGGTCTATCTGTCTATTTCTGTGCCCATACCATGCTGTTTTCAGGACTATAGCTCTATAATAGACCTTGAAGTACTGGATGGTGATGCATAAAGATGTTTCTTTGTTGAGCAGGGTTGTCTTGGCTATCCTGGGTTTTTTTGTTTTTTCATATAAAGTTGAGAATTTTCCTTTCAAGTTCTGTAAAGAATTGTGCTGTGAGTTTGATGGGGATTGCATTGAGTTGGCAGATTGCTTTTGGCAGGATTGCTATTTTTACTACATTAATCCTATCTATCAAGGAGCATGGAAAATCTTTTCATTTTCTGATGTCTTCTTTATATTCTTTCTTTAAAGACTAAATGTTCTAGCCCACAGGTAATTTACTTGTATGGTTAGAGTTCCCCACAGGTATTTTATGTTGTTTGTGCCAAATTTAAAGGGTGATGATTCGTGCCATTTTATCCTCTGACTGTAGTAGAGCTACTGATTTTCTGCAGTAAACATTGTATCCAGCCACATTGCTGAATGTGTCTATCAGCTGTAAGTGTTCACTGGTAGAATTTTTGTGTCACTTATGTAAAGTAACATATCATTTGCAAATAGTGAATGTTTGACCTCTTACTTTCCAATTTGTATCAATTTGATCTTGTGGCCTTATTGTTGTAGCTAGTTCAGTACAGGATTACAGAGCTATTGGGAGACAGGACAGCTTTGTTTTTCCTGATTTTATAGGAATTGCCTTGAGTTTCTCTCCATCCAGTTTGATGTTGGCTTTGATTTGCTGTATATAGCTTTTATTATGTTGAAGTAAGTTCCTATTATCCCAAATCTCTCCAAGACATTTATCCTAAAGGGGTGTTGGATTTTGTGAAAGGCGTTTCCATCATCTAGTGAGATGATCATTTGATTTTTGTTTCTCATCTTGTGTATATGGTGGATTATGTTGATGCATTTTCATATGTTGAACCATCCGTGCATCCCTGGAATGAAGCCTTTTTGAACATAGTGGATGAGTTTTCTCATAAGTTCTTGGATCTGATTTGTCAGTATTTTCTTGAGTATTTTTGTGTCAAAGTTAATGAGGGATATTGGTCTTTAAGGTCTCTTTATTAGTTGTGTCTTTGTGTGGCTTGAAATCTCATAAAAGAATTTGTCAAAGACCCTTCTGCTTCTATTCATTGGAATAATTTGAAGAGAATTGTTATAAACTGTTCTTTGAATTTCTGGCAAAATTCTATACTGAAGCCATCTGGCCCTGAGCTTTTCTTGGTCAGGAGACTTTTGAGCATTGCTTCTATTTTATTAGTTGTTTTAGGTCAATTAAAATTGCTTATCTCTTTTTGATTTAATTTTGACAGGTGATATTTATCCAGAAAATTGTCCATTACCCTTAAATTTTCAAATTTCGTGGAGTATAGCTTTTCAAAATATGACCTGATTATTCTCTGGATTTTCTCACTATCTGTTGTTATGTCTCCCTTTTTATTTCTGATTTTGTTAATTTGTATGTTCATACTCTGCAGTTTGGTAAGTTTGGATAAAGGTTTCTCTATCTTGTTGATTTTCTCAAAGAAGCAACACTTTGTTACATTGATTCTTTGTATCATTTTCTTAGACTCTACTTCATTGATTTCAGCCTTCAATTTAATTATTTCCTGGTTTCTGCTCCTCTGCTGTGTGTTTGCTTCCTTTTTTCTTGAGCTTTCAGTTGTGCTGTTAATTCTCTAGTGTGAGTATTCTCCAGTTTCTTCATGTGGGCAATTAGGGCTATGAACTTTCCTCTTCACACTGCTTTCGAGGTGTTCCATAAGTGTGGGTGTGTTGTGTCTTCATTGTAATTGAATTCTAGGAAGACATTAATTTCTTTTTTTATTTCTCCTGTGACCCAGGAGTGGTGCAATTATGCACTATTCAATTTCCTTGAGTTTGCAGGTTTTCCGCGATTTGTGTTGTTGAAATCTAAATTTAAATCATGGTGTTCTGATAAGATACATGGAGTTATACTCATTTATTTTACTTGCTGAGGTTTGCTATGTTGCTAAGTATGTGGTCAACTTTTGAGAAGGTTTCACGTGGTGCTGAGAAGAAGTTATATTCTTT